CCCCCCCCCCCCCCCCCCCCCCCCCGCCCCCGCCATCACCACCACCTTTTGTTACTTGCAGTTTAACTTTGTCGGTAAACTGTTGGGCCCACGTGGTAATTCTTTGAAGAGGTTGCAGGAAGAAACGTTGACAAAAATGTCCATTTTAGGTAAAGGATCCATGCGAGACAAAGCAAAGGTGAGGTTTGTTAACATTTGTCACTCAAAGAAAGATTATTAGCGATATTTCTTTGTTTTTTTGTCTTTCTGCACCTGCTTTCTCAAACTACTTATAACTTGTTCTGCAGTGTGGTTGGAGTATATCAAATGAAAAATGCTTTGTGTCAATAATTTATTACAGCTATCTGTTAAGATCATTAAACTCTTTCCTTTTGATTTTATATATAAGAACATTTCATAAAATTTAAAGATCAAAAATCACTTTCATAACCATTGAAATGCTCTTCCATAGAAAACAGTTAAAGCTGAGTTAGCCAATAACTCAGCCTTAAATATATTCAGGTCTTTGATCACCAGCAAATGGCCTAGTCCTTCTAGTTCTTCTGTTAGTGAGAACACTATTTGAAAAGCAACATGTTTGCTTGGAATAAAACATAATATTCCATTTTTTTTTGCATCTTACATTGTCAATTATGTATTTATTGTTTACATACTGTCTGCTGTTGACATAGAGTGCTGTCAGTACAGGATTATTGTTGTAGTTAAGTTAATATTGTTAGAGTTGTGATGTTAAACTTTTTTTTTTCTGCCTGTCAGTCTGTCTGATACACATACCTGGCTAAGTATCAATTAATTCTCCTAGGATTGCCTCTGAGTAATACTGATGCAATGCAGGAGACTAAAGTTTGGTAAGTATCAAAAGGAGGGAGCCATGTTTAAGTCAGTTATAGAACCTCAAAGCTTTACTTTTTAACTTCTAGTTAAAGGCTTTTCAGGATCCAAGAGACCTCACTGAATAGGTTATAGGGACCTTTAAGGAAAGCCAAAGAGCACACCACAAAATTGTCATTCTTTACCATTTTGTAAAGTTGTAGCTGCTACTGCAGGATTGTCCACCAATTCTTTCTTACTCATCAGTGACGTGACAGTACAGATAGGGAAAGAAATCAGGTATCTGATGTCCTGACCACAAGATGAAACAGAAGTAAGCTATTCATCCCATGAAGTCTACTTGTGAGATCTTGACTGACTTGGATAATCCTCAACTCCATTTTCTTGCCTTGTCCCCATAACCCTCCATTCCTTTAAATGATTTTAAAAAAAACCTCATTTCCTGAATATAATTAATGGCTCAGTCTCTTTAGCTTTCTGTTGTAAAGAATTCTACAAATTCATTACCCTCAGAAGAAATTCCTTCTCATCTTGTTAAATGGGTGACCCGTTACTCTGAGATTGTGTTCTTTGGTCCTCGGACTTTTCTGCACAGGGGAACAACCTCTCTGCATCTACGCTGGCAGGTAGATTCTTATAAGAATCTTGTATGTTTCAATAGGGTTGCCTCTCGTTCTTCTAATTTCCGATCAGTACAAGCCCTACTCAATCTTTTCTTACTAGAAAGTCTCTCCATACTTGGGATCATTTATATTTGTGACGGGTATTGAAATTCATTTTAATTTTTGTTTGGGTACAATACTGAAAGACCTGAATACTTTACTTTACTTTTCCAAGCACAGGACTAGGTATTAATTCTGATCTAATGATATTGATTTATTTTTGTTACATACATGCTTTAAAAACCATTGTCTTCAAAGAAAGCTGTCCAGAGTTAATCTTTAAAGTTTTAAAAACTGTAGTGTGGGCTCATAAATTTGGATGAAACACATTTTAAAAAGCAATTTCATCAAGTAAAAATATTGAATCATTTTTTATTCGGCAAATTCTATAATGAGCCAATGATTGGGGTAGGGAGAAAGAAGCGATATGTTGCAGACAAAATTAATATGACAGCTTGAGTTTTGATTTTTGTTGCTGTTCTGAAAATGTTACTTCTGTTTTAAAGCATATTAGCTGAACCATAATTTCAACTGTGAAAGCTATTCTTACCATGAAGAGTTAAGGTTTACTTAACCAACAGTGGTAGATATAGGTATTGCCTTGTGTGTTTATTAACCTTTTTACAGACAAGGTAAATGGAGTTGCACCTGTCTCTTTTTGGTTTCTTTTGGTCTCTTGTCATTGCCAGTGTTTAGTTTTGATATCTTGAAAGCTTGTGGGCTTGAGAATTTCATGGAATAGTATTTTGACTGACAGCACCAGGTCATTGAAAGTGATGTATGCTAATCAGAAATTGCTGCTGTCTGGCTGAGTTTGCACTCTGCAGTCTGCAGTGAAAAATGTTTTGGGGTAATGCCTATTTTGATTTATTAAAATATTAAATGCCCACATTGTTCCAGAGCACATTCAACATCAGTGTCAACTTTATAGTAAGATATAGTAGAGTAAAGTATAATAATTTAGTGTTGCATTGCTGGGCACAGCAACCAGTCATAAAAGCAAAACTAAAGGTTGCTACCTTTAAACAGATGCTATTATCCTTTCTGACCATTATCTAGATTGCACAGCATTCCTCAATCGCAGGTAATCAGCAAACAATTGTAGCCCTTAGCTTAAAAACAGTTCTTTGTGAGGAAAGTTTGTACTAAGTCACATACTTATTTTCCAGTGTTTTGAAACCTAACCTGGAGTGTATAAGGGATAGATTCCTGCTTTGGAACCTTGGTTTTATTGCAGAATTATTGAATACAGTATTGCTGTAAAGCATCCACATAGTTGCGCTACAAGTGCTGTTTTGGACCAAAATGATCTCAAAATACACATGTAAACTTAGGTTCATTGTATATAGATCACTGTTGGTGTATCCACCTGATTTGATGTGACCTCACTCCTTATATAATTGAGCATAAATTCAGCACAAAAGACATCTATTGCCACAGATTATCGGATCTTTGATTATTTTCAGCCTATTGCGAAAGTTGGTGGTGCTTTTATTCTTTTGTGGGATATGAGCGTTGCTGGCTGGGCCAGCATTTATTGCCCATCCTTAGTTGCCCTTGACATGGTGATATTGAGCTGCCTTATTGAACTACTATAGCCAATTTGGTGTAAATACACGCACAATACTATTGAGGACTCCCAAGCCAACTGTATATTAGGCTGTCACCTCCTTTGCTAGGTCTGCCCTGCTGGTGAGAAAGTATGATTCCGAAGCTTTGACTGTCAGGCTGCTCTCCAGGTTTTGATGAGGGCTTTGCATGGTCAATGGGGCTGAGTTGGCTACTGTCATATTTCTAGTGCCTTAATTGATGCCAAGTGGTCTGTCTGTCTTCATCCTTTTTTGATTTTGGAAACTTTTTGTTTTAAGCCATTGACACGAATAGCTTGATGGTCCATTTTCAGGCAGTATAATTAAGACAGTGCCGAGGTTCTGGATCATATGTAGACCTGTCTAGCAAGGATGCCAGTTTTAAAGAAATTAGTGAACCAGTATGTTCTTACAACAATAGACAATGTTTTAGTTCGTGATCATCATTTAGAATTAGAATTCTAATTCTATCATATGCCATGCTAAGGTTCAAACCATCGTCCACAGGACATTTTAAAAAAACCCAAAAGAACTGCAGATGCTGTAAATCAGGAATAAAAACAAAGTTGCTGGAAAAGCTCAGTGGGTCTGGCAGTATCTGTGAAGGAGAAAACAGTTAACATTTTGGGTCCAGTGACCCTTCCTCAGAACTGATGGTGGCTGGGAAAATGTCAGTTTATATGCAGTTTATATAAAAGGGAGGGGGATGGGATTATGGAGTAAACGATAGGCTAGAGCCTAAAGAGAGAGAAGAGCAGTTGGACAGATAGAGTTGATAACGATCAGGCTGGGAGGGTGAATGGTTATTAATGGTGACTATTGCACACCACCTGTTGTGTAATTGGCAGGCTATGTGGTAACAAGGCCTGGTGTGTGGGGTAGGGGACTGGGACAGGGGAGAGTTTAGGCCCTAAAATTATTAAACTCAATATTGAGTCTGGAGGGCTGCAAGGTCCCCAAGCAGAAAACGAGTTGTTGTTCTTCCGCTTTGTTTTCCCAGTGTAGAGGAGACCACATTGTGAGCAGCGAATGCAGTAGACTAGATTCTGGGAAGTCCTGGACTATATATCCTTGCACCCCATTTCCTGTAAAGACGCCATCCCATTCTCTCGGTTCCTCCGTCTCCGTTGCATGTGTTCAGATGAGGCCATCTCTGAAAAGGGAGCCTCTGAAATGTCCACCTTCTTCCTCAACTGAGGATTCCCCAGCTCCATTGTCGACAGGACCCTCAACCAGATCCGACCCATCTCCTGCACTTCTGCCCTTTTCCCCTTCCCTTCTCTCCTGCAACAGCAATAGGGTTCCCCTTGTCCTGACCTACCATCCCACCTGCATCCATATCCAGAAGTTCATCAGGTGCAATTCTCCAGCAAGATGCCACCAGCACACACCTGTTCCCCTGCCCTCCCTTGTCCCTTCTGCTGGGACCATTCCCTCCAGGACACCCTGGTCCACACTTCCTTCATCCCCAACACACACACACACACACACACACCCCACCTTCCCCTGTAACCGGCAAAGCAGCAACACCTGTGCATTTACCTCCTCCCTCCCCAATATCTAAGGGCCCAAACATACTTTCCAGGTGAAGTAACACTTCACCTGCACTTCCCAGAATCGTAGTTGACTGCATTCAACTGTGGTCTCCTCTACACTGGGGAAACAAAGCGTAGACTGGGTGACCGCTTCGCAGAACATCTACGTTCTGCTCGTAAAAAAAAAAAGACCCTGAACTACCTGTTGCCTGCTACTTTAACACACCATCCTGTTCCCTGGCCAACATGTCTGTTTCTGGCTTGCTGCAGTGTTCCAGCGAAGCTCAATGCAAGCTGGAAGAACAACATTTCATTTTCCGCTTGGGGACCCTGCAGCCCTCCGGACTCGGTATTGAGTTCAATAAATTTGGGGCCTAAATCTCCCATGTCCCAGTCCCCTACCCCATACACCAGGCTTTGGTACCACGTAGCCTGTCTTTACAAAACAGTCCCCATTAACAACTATTCACCCTCCCAGCCTGATTGTTATCAACTCTTTGTCTGTCCAACTGCTCTTCTCTCTCTTTAGGCTCTATCCTATCGTTTACTCCCTAGCCCATC